GAGGTAGTCGCTGTGGCCAACAACCTGGCTTGCCGGGGCTTGGACCACCTGGAGGAGAAGATCCCTGCCCTGCAGTACCCTGTTGACAAGGTAAGTCACAGGCAGGGCCATCTGGGACCCTCAGTCCCACTGCAGAGCCCACAGCGCATCTTCTCTGGTCTTGTTTCTGGATGGTGAGGGGCTCCAGGGTGGAAAACAAAGCAGCCACTGTAAGTGAAGGCTCCCAGATACAGGTCCAAAATGTCCTGTGTCCCATCCCTGCCAGCTACTTCCAGCCCAGGCTGAAGAGAGCTGCTATGCCCCTCTCAGAGCTGTTTACTGGCATGGCTATGGCTGGGGTCCCTGCGGTCCCTCCAGCTGTCCCGTGCCACCCCAAGCTCACCAATAGGGCTGTTCTCCACCTCTCTGCTGGCAGCTTGCATCTGAACTGAAGGACACCATCTCCTGCCCCCTCCAAAGTGCCAAAAGCACCATTGGCAGCTCCATGGATAAGATCATAGAGCTGGCAGCAGAAGGCTACGAGGCCACTAAGAACACGGTGGAAACAACGGCAAAGTACACAAGGAAGAACTCGGTGACCCAGATGGCAGCTGCGGGGGTCGACACGGCCCTGGGAGGGCTGGAGAAGCTGATGGAGTACCTGCTGCCAGAGGAGGATGAAGAAGCAGGTAGTCCTGATGCCTAAATCCCCTCTGAGGGTGTCTGGTGACGGCTGGTTTGGCGGCTCCTCACTTGTGGGGTGCATGGGGCAGGAGGTAGCCCCTGGATTTTGGTGTAGGGCTGCCTAGGAGGGTTGTCCCATCAGTTTCCACAATTCTCCTGCCTGTGCTTTTCTGCCTTTTAGATCAGAAGCCCCAAAAGAAACATCAGTCAACAGCAAAGGTCTCCCAGCAGCAAGCAAGCACTGCCAGCACTGCCAGCACTGCCAGCACTGCCAGTGCTCCCAGTGCTCCCAGTGCTCCCAGTGCTCCCAGTGCTCCCAGCACACCCAGTGCACCCAGCACTCCCAGTTCTCCCAGCACCCTGGGCCGGATTGGTGCCTTGGTTAGCACTGTCTCCCACCGTGCGTACCAGCAAACCACCCAAAGTCTCCAGCGTGTCAAAACCAAAGGGCAGGAGCTGGCCACCTGGATCCCCATTGTGGTGAGTGCCAAAACCCACCTGCTGGGTTCCTGATCCCCCATACCCTCTTTTGGGCTGATTTTCACACGAGACATTGCAGGCAGCTTGGAGCAAATCCAAGCACAGAGTATGTTTCTCCTGCTCAGCAGGACAAGGTGGGGCCATTGGTTCCTGCGTGATGTTCACACACAATCATGTACCACATCAGTGGGACAAGTTATTTTTAGCAGATTCCCAGTGTATAATTGTTGATTTATGGCATTGCCATAACATCCTTCCTAAAGAAAAGAGCCCCTGCAGAGACCCAGAGGGGATGGGGAGAAGGAGGCCCCTCTCCCACCCTGTGCTGCAGTGGGAACCCCGTCCCTGTCCTGTCCCAAAATCCCAGAGCTCCCGTCTGCCCTCGGTGTTTCTCCCCGGGTGCACAAATGAACTCCCTGCACCTGTGCACCCCAAGGCCCCTGTAAAATCCTCAGGCTAAGCGGGATGGAGTGACTGGGACCTGCCAGCTCCCTCTGAGAGATGGCTTTTTTGCTGCTCTTCCAGGGCAGCCTGGCCAAGCCGAGCGTACCCGCGGCGCCACCAGCCCGCACTGATGGGCAGAGCAGCACGGGTGGCTGGCTGAGCCGGCGGCAGAGCAAGGCACCGGAGCAGAAGCAGGAGAAGGCGGGGAAGAAAGACGGCAACCAAAGCAAGGTATGGAGAAAAGGAGGGCAGTGAGCTAGGGATGCCCCAAAACATCCTCCTACCCATGGACCATGCCAGCATGGGGGCTGCTTGCCCCGTAACCTTGTGGACCAGACCCCCATCCCTGATGAACCCTGAACTGCAGCTTGGAGGAGATGAGCTGGGGGCTTTGGCAGGGGAGCAGCCCCAGCAGTCCTCTTCCCTGATTCCCCAAAGCTGAGGGCTGAGGGCAGCCTCTGTGCCAGGCAGGGTGACCCTGGCTTGTATGTTCAGTTCTCCTTTGGAGCTGTGGGGTGTCAGCACAGAGCTCACAACTGAGCCCCAGAACACTCCTGAAACCGGCCCCCCTGCCACGGACCCAGCAGCAAGGGGTGGTGTGAGCCGGTGGGGCTGGGAACAGTCTCCGGCATCGGCTCCGCTGGGACGTGGGGACGGGAAGCGGCAGGTTGGGGTCACTGCCCTTCGCCTCTGCCTGCAGCGGAAGCACAGCCTGGAGCAGAGGGTCCCCGGGGGCCTGGAGCGGGGGGGAGCTGGCGGGGACGAGGAGCGACCCTGCTGCAAAGGGCTGCAGTGGCTCCTACAGAGCTGAAAGCACTCAGTCTCTGAGCTGGGAAGGGGAAGGGAAGCCCAGGGCCACCCCGTCCTGCCCAAAGGGGCCAGTGGGGAAGGGGCCAGGATCAAGAGCTGAGCTGGTTTCTCTTGGCAGACAGGGGAGGACCCCGGGCTGGTGAGCAGCGTGGCTCACAACCTGCAAAACGCCTGCGCCTCCAGCATCTCCACCGTGAGAAAGGTGCCAGCTGTGGCCTGGGATGCAGCAGAGGGGTTGATCCTCTTCACCCCCCGCAGGCTGTCCAGGGCCATGGAAACAGTGGATGCTCTCGGGGGGACCCTCGTCAGTGCCCCTAAGCATCTGCTGGGCACCCTGTACAGCTTCGTGCCGGTGAGTTTGTCCTGTTCCTCTCCAGCAAACCCCATTTCGCCCAGCCTCCTCCCATGAGCATCTCATAGCTCCAGGCAATGTCAGGAGTTACCAGAGTGGGGAGATGGGGTGCTGTGAGGACACCTCAGTCCCACCCTCCTCCTTAAGCATCCCCCAAGCTGTGGCAGTGAGTTCCCCAATAGAAACAACAGGATGGACAGTGGTGTCACCTTCACACAGTTCATTTCCAAGCCAGGGTGTGACCACACATTTCTGGGAAGGTGCAAGTTCAGGTTGAGACTGTATGTCCCCTCTCCTTTACCTCACCCTGTTGCTCCCCTGGGATCATTTCTCCACCACAGCTGCTCAGGGGTTGCCCCTCCGGGGGCAAACTGGTTTATCTTGAGGTTCTCCCAGTTTAGGATGGGGGACTGTGTAGCACAGGTAGAACAGAGTTGGCAGGTGGGTACAGCCTGGCTGGGTCCTCACCCCACCTCTCAGCTCCGCAGGCAGTCAGTGAAGGAAGCGGAGGCACCCAAGGGCAGCAAGTCTGAGCCGGAGAAGACAGAGGAGAAGGAAGAGAAGGAGGACACCAAGGCTGCTGCCCCCTCTGCTGAGGAGAAATCCCAGCTGAGAGGTGACTGGCGGATGTACCGTGGCCATCACCCTCTCTCCTTCCTGGGGCTTGAGGACCCCCTCTTCCTGCGGCACAACTACTACCGCAGCCCTGCCTTCGAGCCCGAGTACCCCTTCCCACGGAAATCCGCCTTCTCCCCCTACAACAGGCGGGTGAGTGAGGGCTCCTACCGCTTCAGCCCCGAGTCCATGTACAGCCGGGCTTACTACAGCAACCTCTACACTCCTGTCTTCAAGAAAGACTGAGCCAGTGGGGAGAACAAGCACATCCCAGGCCCCCTCTAATCCCCCCACAGCACGCTTTGCCCAGGCCCCTGCCAGCTGCCCACACACACCCCTGTACCAGGACAGGAGCTTAAAGTGGTAGACAGGCCATGGGATGTCTTATTCCGAAGTGCATCAAGGTCAGGGTGAGGTAATAAAGACAAACAAAAGCCCTGCGGCTGGGAGGAGAAGGTAGGGGGAGGTGGGACCAGAGAGGAGCAGTGAGGTAAAGGAGGTGTGGAAAGAGTGGTGAGATCAGAAAAGAGGAAAAGAGACCAGCCAGGGCTAGCACTGGGTTAGCCTGGTTCCTGCTGAGCAGATAGCATGGACTTAGATGGGCTTCACATTGAGAGAGCAGGGAGAACAGCAAAGCCATCAAACATCACCATCACAAGCCTGGTTCCCCATCCTTCCTGCCTCCATCTCCCCTTGCAGGCCCCATCCCTGGCCACAGATTGCTCCTCCATGGAGGGGCTGAAGATCCCCACCGACCAGCAGGATTCATGAGTAGGAAAGCCCAGGGCACCTCCCTCCCAGATTTTGATGGGATAGATGGTGGGGTCAGGAAAATGACTGATGAAAACAGATGGAGCTCCTGGAGCCCCTCTCGCACAGGATCGCCTGGCTTCCCACAACACCATTTTGTATTCACTGCAATAATAAATCTTCCCACTTGCCGCTCAACCCTGTCTGCTCAGCTGCTTTATGGGAGTGAGACACCAAACCAATGGAACAGAGTGGAGTGAGACCCCCAAACCAGGGCCAAGGGAGCGGGTGCGGGAAACACCCTCGGGTAGCTGCCACAAGGACAGTGGGTGCTCATGCCCAGCACAGTACGTGTTTCTTCCCATGCCCCAAGTACGAATTCACAGCTCCAAGGAGCCAGGGCTTCCTGCCAAAGACAATTTATTGCATTTCCAGAAGACCACAGCAGAGAAATCAAGTGTCCACACAGCACACACACTGTTTTCCCAGGGAATGAGGGGAAGGGTTTGGGGAGAGGCAGGAAAAGCCTCCCAGCAGCAGAAGGGTTCAGCACGAGCCCAGAGACCCCTTTCCCCACCTCTTTTCCTCCCCAAGGAGAGGCAGCCTTACAGAAGGAGTGGCTTGGGAAGGGCTGTGGTGCAATCCCCATCCTGGGAACAAGCCCAGTGCCTGTTTTTTTCCCAGGCACAGCCTGTTGAGCGCTCACTCGCACAAGGGAAAGGGCTGTGATCACTGAAAGGCTGTGGGAGAGAGGACGGTTCAAAAGCAAGGCGGGTGGGACGGTGCCTGGGCTCTGGGACCCGCTGGCACAGTGATACACACGTGGGAACTGCCAGTGCCTCCCAGTGGAGAAACCCCCCAGCTTGCCAGCTCGTGGGTGCTGATGAGCGTTAAACAGCAACAAGGATGCCAGAGTAGGAGTAGAGAGACAAGGAGTAGCGTGCTGTACAGAAGCAGCATGTTGCCCCTGCTCAACAATGGCCTGGGCAGCTCCTGCTGCAGGAGCTGGGAATGCTGCTGCCTGGAACTGTGGCAAAATCGCCCGGTGGTTTCCAGTGTTGGAGGATAGCAGGAATAAGCAGGAGGCACCTAAAAAGCTGGTACAGCAGAGAGTAGAGATTCTGTCCCGTCACAGAGCCAAGAGTAATGCACTCAGTCCTTGGCTGCGTTGGCTGTGCATGGCAGGACACCCAGACCCTGACATTAGGAGGACAGCAAGGAACCCATCATACTTATGGAAAGACACACACCACCTCCATGGGCACACAGGGAGGAGGCCTGGCCCAGCTGGGCAGCACAGAGAGCAGCAACATCCACGCTGTAGCTCAGAGGGAGTCCGTTCGTTTGCGGGTAAACACGGCCGACATGGTCTTGACGATGCCACGGATCCCTGTACCCTTTTTCAGTGCCAGTTTGGTGTCCGGGATGCACTTGGCCAGTCCATGGAAGACCATGAGGGCCCCGTGATAAGCCTCAGCTGCAGAGACCTCATAGAAACCACAGTCTAAAGAGAGGGCGAGGAGCCGACCCTCCTCGCTGGACACCACCCGCTGGTGGTGCAGGTCCCGTTTGTTGCCCACAATGATGATGGGCACCTTCTCCTGGCTCTGCCCCTCCTTGGCTGCCTTGATGAACTGGATTTTTAGGGGCAGGATATTGAAACTGGCACGGTCGCAGATACTGTAGACCAGGACAAAGCTGTCTGCCCACTGGATTCGCTTCTCCTCTGAGGAGCCATCCTCTGTCTGCTCCTGGGGAAAGAGAAAAGGAAGGGGTTTTTTATCTGGCTCCCTCCCTCCCCAACTACCTGCTAGAAGAAGGTATACCAATCCTGAGCCTAACAAACAGCAAAAGGGAAGAGAGAAAGAGGAGTACTGGGGAAGGCAGAGCAGCACCTGGCAGACCTCGCCAAGGAGGACAATTTGGCCTTCAGCATCACTGTCCTCACCTCCTCATCCAGCTGCCAAGCACTGCAGGCTGTAGGTGAAAACAGTATGGGGACCTCAGAGCAGCATTTCTACTTCTCTAGCACAATCCTGGGCTCACTCTGGGCTGGCAGTATTAGTGCTCCAGCTTCAGTCCTCAGCCACAGGACCATGGGCTACAGTGACTATTGCTACCCTGCCAACAACGCTGCTGCCCCGTGCTCGGCGGGTGAGAAGGGTTTGGTCACCTCTGATGTGTGAGCTTTGCTCAGCTAGAGCTCCTAGCGTGTGGTTTCCCATAGGCAACTTTCAATAAAGGGGGGTTTTGCCAGTGGGGTGGAAATGGGTGACAGGAGTGGAGTCCTCTCACCTGAGAATTGGGGGCATCCCAGATGTGGAAGAGAATCTCTCGGCCATCCACCGTCACATTGTGGCTGTAGATGAATTCTGCCCCCCAAAAGAAAAAAAAGTCATCTTCATGGTGTCACCAGATGTCCCCCAGGACCTCCTGCACCCCAGAGAATCAGTTCTGAAGCAAAGAGATGGTTCAGTGAATAAATACAACCTTTGAGGCTCTGGGAGCAGGCAAAGGCTCTGGAGAAAGGCAGGAGAAGATGGGCAGGAAGGAAATCCTGTGGGCAGAAGCAGGGCTGCCTCCTGACCCCAGTCCCTAATGGGAACCAGCCTGGCCATGGCCTGGCACTCACCCATGTCTCCGTACTCCCCGATAAAGCGCCGGGTCAGGAAGCGCACAGTCAGAGCTGCAGAGGGAAAGATAAGAATCACCAGAATGACCCCAAACCAGAAGGATTCTCCTTTCTAGATCCAGAGCAGAGTCAGGCACTATGCCCCTGTAAACTCCAACAGCATAAACGACCTCTGCTTTTCCCCCAGCCACCAGCAGCCTGCGAGCAGAGCAGAGGCACAGCACGACCCCGCAGCATCAGCAAACTGCAGCTCAATGGAAAATACCTTCCCCTGTCACTCAGCAGATGCCTACAAGGTTGTGCTCACCTTCCCCACCTCAAATCACAAGGGCTTAGCCCCATCTCACCAGTTTGCTCCACAGGCTCCTCTCTGCAGCTGATCCTCCAAACACTGCTGCAGTTTACAGCCTGGGAACCCCATGCTCACCTGATTTCCCCACGTTGTCCGCTCCCATAACAAGGACGTTTGCTTCCATCTTCAGGGCAGTGGGGCCAGGCACCTCCATGAGGGCAGGGTGGTCGGGGGTGAAGCTGGTGCTCCGGCGCAGAGGCAGCCGGAGCCCCATTCCGAGCGTGATCGTGGCTCTCCAGCAGTCCCAGCAGCGTGTGTACAACTCCTCTCGGCACAGTCGACAGTCCAGTGCTTCCCACGGCACCCAGGGGACCCGCGAGGACCATACCCCTCCCCGCAGCCGCAGGGGCGGTGCAGAGGGAACTGCAGGCAGCCGGATGAAAAACTTTGTCATAGCTCAGACTGTCCTGAACATGCGTCAGTGCCTGGAGCCGGCCGTGCCAGCCCCCGGCGCGGCAGGCGGCCGGGAAGCTCCGGCTGTCTGCACCAGCTGCTCTGCAAACTGCATCCCAGGAGGTGCCCACGCCTGCACCTCGACCACTCTGCTCCTTGTCAGGGTCACGTAGCCCCTTGTCCCTTCCCCATGGCGACCGTGGGAATGCCCGCGAGGAGAGGAGGAGTGTCTGACAAGTGCTGGGGTGTCTCATCAGGGGCAGAGCATCTCATGAGAGATGGGGCCCCTTGTAAGTGACGGAGCATCTCAGAGGGTTGGGGAACACCGTTTCACAAGAGATGGAGCATCTCACGACTGACGGAGCGTTGTCCCACACGTGATGAAGCACCGCACGAGGGATGGAGTCCCTTGTGAGTGATGGAGCATCCTACGAATGATGGAGCATCTCCAGAGTGATGGAGCATCTCTGGAGCGACGGAGCTCCTCGGGAGCACCCACCGCTTGCCCGTACCCGCCGCACAGCCCCCGTAGCCCTCCCGCATCCCCCGTTCACCCCTGGCCACATCTCTCCAGGGTGCTGCCCGGGGGTTGGCGAGGACCATCCCCCGACCTCTCCACATCCTCCCTTCCCTCTCCCCCTCCCTCCCCTGCCCGGGCGGAGCCTTTGACGCCATCGCGGGGCGCCCGGCGCGGCCATGGCGGCGGAGGGGGCTGCGGTGCGGGTGGCGGTGCGGGTGCGGCCGCTGCTGCCCCGGGAGGCGCTGCGGGGGCACCGACCCTGCCTGCGGGGCGATGCCGCCACCGGCGAGGTGTCGCTGGGCCGCCGCCGGTTCCGCTTCGCCGCCGTGCTGCCCGAGGCGGCGGGGCAGGCGGCCGTGTACCGGGCCTGCGTCCAGCCGCTGCTGCGCGCCTTCTTCCGCGGCTTCAACGCCACCGTCTTCGCCTACGGGCAGACGGGCTCCGGCAAGACCTACACCATCGGGGAGGCCAGCGTCGGTGAGTCGCGCCGGGACCGGCAGCGCCGCGCCTGCAACCATCCCTGCTCCGCCAGCATCGCTGTTCTGCCAGCATCCCTGTCCCACCAGCATCCTTGTCCCACCAGCATCCTTGCCCCGCCAGCATCCCTGTCCCGCCAGCATCCCTGCCCCGCCAGCATCCCTGGCCCGCCAGCATCCCTGCTCTGCCAGCATCGCTGTTCCTCCAGCATTCCTACCACTCCCAGCTCTCCCTACCAGCCCCGCATTGCACCTTCTTCCATCCCCACCTCCTTCCATCCCCAGCCAAGCCACAAACGCCACCATCATCCCAGCCATCTCTCCCAACTGTCCAGCCTTGCCGGTGCTGCCATCCACACCCATTTCAGCAGTGCTCTCTCTCTCTCTCTCTCCCCAAACCTACAGCATCAGCATCTCCATCACTTCCAGCATCACTGTCCTAGCCAACCCTTCCACCCTGTTAGCCCCCACCAGCCCAACCTCACTCCTGTACCACCCCTCCCCATCCCTCCTCTCCAGCAGCCTTTCCTTCTCTCCACCCGTGCTGCTGTAACCACCCCCCATGGTCACCACCTTTGAGATCACAGCGTACAGGGTTGCTCCTCTTCCACTGCAGGACAAGTGAGAGGACCTGGTCGTCCACCTGCTGTGGAGGTGGTGATGATCTTCCCAGGTCCTGAAATAAACAAAGGAGAGTGACGTTTGCAGGGGTTAATCCTGTTAGTTTGTGTATGGGAAGGAACAGGAGAAAGAGAAAACCTTTTCATCCTAGTTTAATGGCATTGTGATCTCTTACAGAGGACATACAGTAAATGTTTCAGTCAGCTTTACTTAATTGCACAGTTTGTAAGCACTGAATTGTTTCCATACTTTCAGTCTACTTCTGTTTTCAGTTTCCCACTTCAGGCTATCATTGCACCACGTTTGGGAATTGCCTTTTTACACAGCTCTTAGAGACAAAAGCAAAACCATTGAAATTCAGATAGCAGAGTGCTGCTTGCAGGCTGCAAGCACAAGAAAACTAACTTCTCTGAGTTGGGAAAAGTTGTGAAGTCATGCTGGCTTCAAAGGACAGCACGCTATAGCTGCAGGCATGGTGTTTGCTACCTGCTAAAATGCTAAGGTGCCTTTTCCTTCTTGAGGAAGGACTGGAAATGAGCAGTTTTGCTGGAATCCAGCACAGCAGAGGGATAGGATTTGCCTGAAGGTCCTGTGGGATGTTTAACCCGGGCTGTGAGGACTGAGCTGTGGGAGGGTTGTGAGGTTGCTCCTTTCCAGCTGATGTGTGCTGCTGGCAGGCTTCTGTCCATGGCTCTGTCCAGCATGGGCTCCCCAGACATTCTCTGCTCCCTGTGACCCTGTGCCTCTCTTTGCCAGCTTCCATCAATGAAGACGAGCAGGGCATCATCCCACGAGCCATGGCCGAGACCTTCAGGCTCATCGATGAGAATGACCTGATCGACTATACGGTACGAGTGTCCTACCTGGAAGTGTACAAGGAGGAGTTTCGGGACTTGCTGCAGGTGGATACAGCCAGCAAAGACATCCAGATCCGGGAGGATGACAAGGGGAACATTGGTATGTGTGGCTGTGCATGGGCTCCTTTTCTCTCCATGTCAGAGGCCAGGGCTGGGTTAGCTATCTGTGAAGACAGAGCCAGGTCTTCTCCCTCCATCCCTTTGTCCATCTCCTGATCAGATTGCTGTGCTTAGTGCTGAAAACCAGTCTGTGCACGGCACAGTATGAGCAGGGTGACAGTGCCAGGCGTGCAGAGGAGCTGCAACCTCAGGCAGTCCGTCCCTCCCAGCCACAGCTCCCTTTGCTTTGCAGTGCTCTGCGGTGTGAAGGAGTCAGAAGTGGAAGGGCTGGACGAGGTGCTGAGCCTGCTGGAGATGGGGAACACAGCCAAGCACACGGGAGCCACCCACATCAACAGGCAGTCGAGCCGCTCGCACACCATCTTCACGGTGACCATGGAGCAGCGGCGTGGGGCTGGACGCCTGCCCCTGCACCACCGCCCGCCCTCCGTCCCCGCCGCGGGACAGGTCCTGGTCTCCAAGTTTCACTTTGTGGACCTGGCAGGCTCAGAGCGAATTGTGAAGACAGGAAACACAGGGGAGAGGCTGAAGGAGAGTATCCAGATCAACTGTGGCCTCCTGGCCTTGGGCAACGTCATCAGTGCCTTGGGAGATCCTCGGAGAAAGACCACCCACATCCCATACAGGGACTCCAAAATCACCAGGTACCGCTGGGACCAGGACACCCCATGTCTTAGTGCTCATTTTACAGGTCTACAGGTCGATGAGGCCAGGATAGAAATGACAGACTAGCTCATTGCAGTGCTGGAGAAGACAAAGCTTGTAGCAGTTATGCTGCTGAAGCTGAGATGGGGTGTCACTGTGGGTTTTCCTGTCCTTCCTGCATGACAGGGAACAAAAAAAGCTTCCAGTAGGCTTGTTTGATGGCCTGCAGTTAGTTCTTAGCTCAAGCAGGCGGCCTTTGCAGTCTCCAGCAGGATCCCTTGCAGCACATACCTAGCTAGCAGCAATCACAGAGTCGGGGAGCCTCAGGAATTATTCAGATGGAAACGTGCCATGGTGCAAACTGTAAATTCTCTGCTTAATGATTCCACTCAGCTCACTAGTGCCAAACCAACTACTGAGCAAGAATATCGTTTTCCTTGAGTTTAACTTCTGAAAAGGGTTGAAAACTTTCTGATTCCTGTGTTATTTTTGTATTTCAGCTATTATAATCACTGTGCTCTTCCCTAGGATCTTGAAAGACTCTCTGGGGGGGAACGCCCAGACTGTGATGATAGCCTGTGTCAGCCCATCCTCCTCCGATTTCGACGAGAGCCTCAACACACTGAATTACGCCAACCGGGCTCAGAACATCCAGAACAAGGCGGTGGTGAACTGCCGCAAGGAGACAGAGCAGATTGAGGAGCTTCACCTGCAGATAAAGAACCTGCAGAAGGCGCTGGAGCAGCGTCAGCGCTCCGAGACCCGCATCATCAACCGCTCGGGCAGCGCCAAGCGCTGCGCGCCCGACCCCACGGCACGGCTGCTGGCGGAGTGCGCCCATTACCGCACCTGCACCGACGCCGCATACCGGCTGCTGATGGAGCTCCAGGAGGACAGTAACCTGACAGTGGAGCAGATCCTGCGGGTCAAGGAGTGGCTGTGCACCGTGGAGAGCGAGAGGAGCGAGCTGACCTCGGCCGGGCTGGACAGCGGCATTGAGAGCACCTCCATGGAGGACCAAAGCGCCGAGGCACAAAGCTCAAAGCTGGCAAAGGCCCAGGTAACAGTTGGGGTGTTGCAGCTCTCAGGTTGGGTTCATCTGGTGGCCACTGGAGGCAGCAGTCCCAGCTTGGCATGATGGTCAGGAGAGGGAGAGGAGGAGAAGAATCCTGTCCAAGAGGCCACAGGGAGGCAAAAAGACTTCCTCCCAGCGGGCAGGAAGAAGTTGGATTCAGCTGCAGCTGAGAGATTTATTTTGCAGGAAAAATCTGGGTCTGCAGAGCTGCTGTAGCCTTGCAGAGTCCAGCATGGGAAGGGAAGGGCAAAGCGGGATGCTGATGCTGCCTCTCGTGTATTTTGGGGAGCAGGTGAACACCGAGAAGAAATGTGAGTCCATCAAAGATGAGCAGGTGGCCAAACTGCAGAGGCAGGTAGAGCGCCTAGAGGAGGAGAACCGTGATTTCCTGGCTGCCCTGGAGGATGCCATGGAGCAGTATAAGCTGCAGGTATTTCTGGGCTCTGCTCTCTTTGTAAGCACCTGCCCCACTCCTCCCTGTCCTGCCCAGGGAAGCCCAGGGCAACTTTCAGGTTCCTCTGTATCAGGTCCGAGGTCAACATGTATATAACCACATTTTTCTCATTGTTCCCTAGAGTGACAAACTGCAGGAGCAGCAGGATAAGATCTCAGAGCTGCATGTGCGCTTGGAGATGGCAATGCCAAACCTATGTGTGCCAGGACTGCTGGAAAACCTTCCCCTGGTGACCTCCAGCCAGAGACCTCACACGGCCCCACTGGATGCTGCCCCGTCCCACAGCCTTGGTGGAGTTCTCTCAGGGCTCCCTCCTGAGCAGTGTGGAAGAGCCCTCTGCAGGAAGGTGAGGGCACAAGGCTGTGCTGTTGAAGAACTGCTGCCTCTTCATTTGGCTGCTCTCCACTGCAGGAATTGCTTTGTCCCTGCTGTTGAACATGACCCTTGTCAGAAGTGTAGTCCAGAGGGCTGCGTTCCATGTTCAGATCTGGAGAGTTTCACAACTCTGGCAAAAACAGCCCAGCTTCAAAAGTGAGGCTTTTACTTTGATGTTATGGGTGAGTCCCAGATTTGCTCAGTGTCTGAGCAGCAGAAGGCAGGAGGGCAGGCAGCTGGGTCTGGCAACACACCAGTGAAAATAGGCTCAACTCCATTTTGTTGCTTCTCTT